CGCTGTGTCGAACAACTACCCTCAATCAACCGTGTGTGACAGCTACCCTCGCTTGTGTCGCTGTGCTGAACAACTGCCCTCACTCGTGCCCGCTGCGTGTCGCCAGGTCGTCGTTCCCTGCCAGCCAGCAGCTGCAGTGTGTGTGCCACTTCCTACTGGACCAGTACCACACGCCCAACGGACGCGCCAAGGCGGCCGCGCTGCGCTACCTACGCGCCCTGCTCGACAGTATGGACGCGGCCGAGCTGACCGGGGCCGAGGCCGACCTGCCGGCGGCCGTCACCAAGGTAGGGAAGACCAGGGCAGAGCGCCGTCACCAAGGTACGACCGGTGGGTGGGCACACCGACATTGGCGCAGGGTTCCGTGAGATAATCATCCTTACAATCAGTTGCCAATCAGGCTCCTGTTACAGTAATTACTTTTTTGCCATGAGCCGACTTACACTCTAAGTAAATGAAATAGCTGCATCCTAAACAGCACCGTCGAATTACGTTCCACTTCTTGCCAACCTACGTGCCGGTTTGCAACTGAATCTACCCAGCTCTGTGTCATTGCTTGCGGATTTCGACTTGGCTTTTTGAAAGTATCTCGCTCGACGTCTCTATGCTGTCTTACCTCAGTCTATTGTGTTGTGCCGCTATTCTCCGTCGCGTGCCGTGAGCCGTACGCTTTCCCGTCTGCCGTTCTCCGTCTGAACCGAGCTCTCCCGTCCCCAGGTGCTCAGCTGGGCGTCCGACCAGAAGTCGGTGGAGACGAGGAGCGCCGCGCGGGCCGTCATCGTGGCGCTGTTCGAGCTGAACACGGCAGAGTTTACCCGTGTCCTTCAGCAGGTGCCCAAACCGTGCCAGGTGCGTCACTTACTATGCTCTAAGGGCTTCAGGCGTGGGCTGTTGGTCAGCTGGGGAATGAATGACTTGGGTCTGAAAATGGGATAACGGGACGCTTACTTCCAATATGGACTGGCGAAATGTTTTGATGTTATGTAGCTCATTCAGTCGTAAGATTCTGAGAAAGTGCGCAGAGACTCTGACATCTGACCTCCGACCTGACCCCTGACCTCTGTCTTGCATGTCTAAGCTCTGACCCGCTCTCCTGACCTCTGACCCGCCCCTCTGACCTCCTGGCTGCCCTCCGGCAGGACGCGGCGACGGACATCATTCAGCAGCACCTGCGCCGTCGCGCCAGCGTGGACCAGTCGGCGGCCCAGCTGCGGACCCGGCCCGGCCGGGACGGCGACGGCGGCAGGTCAGTGGACAGTCATGGAGGAGCGCGGGCTGGTGCGCTGGGAAGAGATTTCGGGTTGGAGCAAAGCTGCTGATGGGATGCGGTTGTCTGTTTCGGTCGCCACTCATGAGCGAGTCCGGTCGCCGAAACAGAGAGCTCGGACAGCCCTTCTCGCCCTTCTTCGAACAGGAGCAGTGCCATCGAAGAAACAAGCATGATGGTTCAATGGCCAAAGTGAACCGTTCTGATTTTCCAATGCTAACATTTAGCATTGAAAAGGTGTAGGTGACGAACAATTAGGATGCCCATATCTGGTAGCATTGTCATCGGTGCCCGTCTCTTAGCTACGGGCTATAGTTCACCTCACCCGGTCTCGCCTCCAGCCCGAAGGCGCGATGGCTGTATCTGACCTCTTGTACCCTGCTCGCAGCCCGGACCCTCCGACCGCCTCCACTCCGGAGGCGCCCTCTGACAGTGACGAGCAGCAGCAGTTGGCCGCCGCACTGGCCGCCCTCCACCTGGAGCCGGCCGAACAGTGGCAGCCGGCGCTGCACTCGCTGGCCAGGCTGGCAGCCACCGGCTCGGAGCAGCTCTGGCGCGACCACTACAGGTGGGCGGGCACACGGACGCTATGGTTACACACGGGCGAGGGGGTGACATGTGGGATAGGTAGACAAGCTTGGTATTCTCGCCCGCGCGATCAGACGCCGGTCGGCAGGTCTGTGGGAATGGGCGACTCATGGCTTACATCATCATTGTAATATCCTTGGGGAGGGGCGGGGGGACAGGACGGCTTTTGCAAGAGATACAGTGCGAGCGAACAGAGGTTTGTGCGTTCTCCGTCTGTATGACAGCGGTTGGCAGCGTGCCTTGCTCTCTGTTGGTAGTCAGTTGTCACTTGTCAGTACTCTTTATCCTGTCTGTCTAGGATAGACAGATACGGCAGCGGTGGTCAGCTGTATCTGTCTGTGTGACGGCGGTGATCACTGACATCTACGCCTCCCTGTCTTGCAGCGCCGTGCTCCACCTGCTGCTGGACAGTCTGCAGTCGGGCGGTGCGGCGCGCGAGCCCGTCCTCGCCGCGCTCACGGCCATGCTGCGCCGCGACTCCATAGCCGGCCTGCTGCTGCCCTTCAGCGAGCTACTGTTCCGACGCGTGCTCGAGGCGCAGGCGGAGCCGGCCGAGCGCGAGGTGGCCCGCGCCGCCGAGCAGTGCGCCGGAGCGCTGGCCGCCCGCCTGCCGGCGGACGCGGCACTGCGCGCGCTAGGACCGCTCGTGCAGGCCGGTCAGTTTCCGCTGAACCGGGCGGCGATCAACACGCTGACGCGGCTGATGGAGCAGCGGGAGGCGGCCGCCGTGCTCGGTTGGCTGCCGGAGCTGATGCCGCTGCTGCTGAAGGTGAGCCTGGCCTTCCGGCGCCCGCCGTCCCCCTCGCTATCCCCCCAGCGCGAGCGCCCCTTCCCCTAACTTAGCTGCCCAGGCGCTCACCCCCCCCCCCCCCACTGCGCAGAGCCACGCGGTACTTGGAAGTGGGTGGGACTGCGACATGGCTGCATATGCTTCGCAGGTTAACGATAAATAAAGGATATGTTTTGACTTTTGACTTCAGTAACGTCCCGATAACCCCCGATAACCCCAGCCACTAGCCACTTGGTGTCAGTTGTAACAACAATAAGATGTGACAGCTCTGTTCAGATATGCGCCACATGGTTCTTTTGAAACTGTTGTCTGTAGGGCTCAGTGCCTCTTGTGTAGGCCAAACGATTCCCTTTATGTGACCCACACACTTGGACTTGCCTTTGCGTGTCCCCGGCCGTTGTTGTGCGGGCACTTTGTTGGCTGCTCTCTGCAGTTTGCACTTGTAGTGATGCGTCTCTCTCACGTGACTGCGTCCTTCATCCGGCTCTGTCACGTAACGTCGCCTTTACCCTGTCCCGTGAGCTCCGTGTCGGGCTCCGTAAAGTAACGTCCATCCGTGAGACTAGTCTCATGACTTCACGTCCCTCTCTATTTTACTATATACCTAACTTGTCGCCCTTCTCTCCGGTAGGCATACGATAACCGCGAGTCGTCGGTGCGAAAGGCTGCCGTGTTCTGTATCGTCACGGCGCACACTGTGTGCGGCGGCTCGGCGGTCGAACCCCACCTCACCGCGCTCAACGCCACCAAAATGAAACTACTGCGCATGTACATCGCGCGCGCCCAGGGCGCCACCTCACCCGGAGACTCGCCTCGCGGAGTCGACTCGCCCGGAGAGTCGCCCCGGGACACGGAGTCGCCGCCCAAGTAGTGCGGCCGCTGGCTCGGGGCGGGTCCTACCAGACTCCACCGGTCTCCGCTCGGGGGCCGGTCTCGTCTGACCGGTGGAGGTCGGTGTAAGCCGGCGCAGAGCGGCTGGGCCGGCGCTGGGAGCCTGTTTTACCCTCACCGGGCGCCCGCCGCTATCGGCAGCAGCTTTAACACGGCGACCCGCCACTGAGAATATGTTGGCTTTAATGTTGCACGCCGCTGTGTTCTTCCTTGCGTCGCCCTATGCAAGGAGCAGCCGCGGGCTGGTAACCAGTGCTGGCTGTCAGCGGTGGTTCCCGTAACCCGGGGAAGGAACCAGGTAGTTCCGTAACTAGGGAAGAGAACCAGGTGGTTCCTGTAACTGAAAGGGATACTCAGAGCCAACTTGTAACACTCCCAGGGTGACATACTTTGGGCCCCAGGCGTGGGTCTGTAATCAATCCTGACTGGGCGTTGACCGTCCGCCCCAAACCAGCGTTGTGTCCTTATGGCTGCTGGCTCGTTATCTTGTAGTGGATGTCTGAGCCATCCTGGTAACGGTTCCTTGTCAGCGGCCCCACGACTGACATCAAACTGATTTTAACGCATTCCTGGTGCCCCGCAGGCACCGCGTAACCGGCCATTTCCAGTTAAACATTCCCGATGGATCGCGCGACCGGCCGGGAGTCGGTGTCATGCTCGGTCACAATATGCACGGTGCTGTCTGATGTGTAGGGTTATGCCGTTATGTTTTTATATTTTGCACCCCGTTTTAGGCCGATGCGGGCGGGTGTATGGGTCCTCTGCGGCGCTGCAGCTGTCCCGGTGTTTAATCTGTGATCGGTGGCCGTCCACTCGTTCCTGGGGGAGGGGTGGCGGCGTCCTGAGACGGGTCGCGGGGGAGGCGTGGGCGCGCTTCGACAGCCAGTCACTCTTGTGACGCTTAACTGTGTGTGCAATGGTGAGAGTGTGCAATTGTGATCAGACGACTATGCCTTTGCAATGAGCTAAACAATGGTAGCTAGACAAAATAAACTTATTGACCACTGACAGACACGTGGCTTTGACTGGTCGGGACTGAACAGGATTGGACCGGGTGAGAAGTATTGACCAGGGAGCTCGGCTAGTCGCGTCTTCTGAGAGGTGAATAATCTATGCCCTGTGCCCGTCGCAACTCCGTCACTACTGGAAAACTGTCGAATAACCTCCCCTGTCGCGTTTGACACAAAGCAAAGGAAAAAATGCATTGCAGTATTCGAGCGGATTAAGAGAGCGACTAGAACATAATATCAAAATAACTGTTCGTAGAAATGCGTGATCCGAAACAGCTTCATAACAGAACGCACCCATTTTCGTAATTTGAACTAACTAGCGTTGTTGGTTAGTGGTTACCCTTCTCCAGACGTCAGAACTCAAAAACCGGTGCAAAGCAGTGCAATGATTCAGGTCTTGGTACATGGTATGAACAGGAAACTGTTGGAAATGTCGTATTATCTAAAAATTGACAACTTGTTGGTGCATTTATTCATCAAACAAAACATGACGCCTCAAACGGCATACCGCCGACGGCCTTGGACGGAATGGAATAAGCATTGAGCAGACGCATATCTCCATGCTCTAGGCAGGTAGCGACACCCAGATGACGCAGCCCTCCGCTCTCCCACAGTGATCTCTCCTCATCCGCCCCGAACCAGCTCAGAACCGGCGCATTCCGGTCCACCGGGGTTAGAGATCGGGTGCAAAGCCCCTGGCGTATGCGCTCCGGGTTTGTAAAATGAGCCGATTCTCACATGCCAAATTAAACATGATGACAAATGCTATAATGCCAGATTAGGTTCGTTTTTCTTTTTTCAGCATGTTTTTCACTCGACCTTATTTAAACAAACAACAATTATAGCGATTACAGCGAAAACAACGATCACATGTGGTGTGGCCATTACACGTCTGTACTAAACGAGCAAAGACCATTTCTAAATCGCAAATGAAAATACGATTGAATGTGCATCAAAATGAAGAAAGCCAGCATGCGAATGAATATGGTCATTAAGACATTTAAAAATCAACAGTGATGATCATAGTGAAGTGACTAGTACGACTGTGACTAGATATGACAAGACGAGGGTCGGCCTCATTGCGAAATGCCCCGTGCGAGTGTGACTAGGTGTAACGAGACGAGGTCCGGTCAGCCCTGACCAGCAGAGCCGGACCCGTGCAGGGCGGAGCCGCCCGCCCGTCAGAGCGGCCGCTGCGCGGCGCCGCTGATGGACGGCAGGCCGGAGGTGGAGGCGCCGCTGAGCAGGCCGGCCAGCCGGGCGGCCGTCTCAGCCAGCTCCGGCGGCGGCTGCGTGCCGGCCGCGCGCCGCTCGTACTCGGCCAGCTGGCTGCGGCTCTCGGCGTGGCGGCCCAGCGCGTGCAGCAGCACGGCCAGGTTGAGCGGCACGGCCGGCTCGGTCGGCTGGGCGGCCAGCGCGGCGCCGTACGCCTGCTCGGCGCTCTCGGGGTCGTCCAGGTGCGTCAGCGCTACGGCCAGCAGCAGGTAGATGGGGCCGTGGTCGGGACGCAGGTTGACCGCCGCCGAGGCGAACTGGAACGCCGAGGCGTACTGCTGCATGGTGAGGTGGACCAGGCTCAGGTTGTAGAGCACCTTCCAGTCGAACGGAGACAGGTAGTTGGCGCGCTTCAGACAGCTGATGGCGGCCACGTACTTCTTTTTGCCGAAGAAGCACATGCCGATGTTGTTCCAGAGCGGCGGCGACTCTGCCGACGCCCGGGCCGCCACGCGGTACTTACTCAGAGCCACGTCAAACTCGCCATGGCCCTGCATCATGCTGCCGGCGGCCAGGATGGCTGCCGTGCTGTCGGCCTGGTGGGCCAGCGCCGATCCGAGCTGCTCGAACGCCTGCTGGTGCTGGCCGGCGCGCATGTACAGAAGCCCCAGGGAGGTGAGCAGCTCGGCCGACTCGGGAAACTGCTCGGTGGCCTGCTGGTAGGTGGCGATGGCCTCCTGCAGGTCGCCCTGCAGCAGCGCCACTTGCCCCAGCTGGTCGTAGGTGCGCTCGTGCTGGTGCAGCTGCAGCGAGCGGCGCAGCGCCTCGCGGGCGGCGGCCAGCTGCTTTAGGTGCTTGTAGCACAGTCCTTTGCTGTAGAATATCTCCCAGTCGGGGGTGCTGCTGGCTTCCTTTTCGGCCTGTGTGTAGGCGGCCACCGCCATGTCGAACCGGCCCAGCAGGAACAGAGACCGGGCCATCTGTCGCAAATTATCCACGTTCTGCGGGTTCAGCTCGCGGCAGCGCTGGAACATCTCGAACGAGTGCTGAATGCTACCCTCGGAGCGCAGGATCAGACCCTGGATGTAGCAAGCATATTCGCACATGTCGTTCGTTTCTTGCAGCTGTTCTTTTAGCAACGCCTTGCAAGTGTCAAACTCTTTTCTGATGAAATGAATGTGTATCATCCAGTTCCGCCGCTCCACCAAATTCAGTTCGGGAGCTTTTGATGGACGGCTTTTACCGAGTAAGGCAGATGATGCACTCCCCACTACGTCTTCCATTTTTCCATTTGAAGTTGAAACGCTAGGTTCCGATGGGTACATAGACATCGCCTCTTTTAATGATATGCTGCCGTACTGCCGAAATAAGGACGCGCAGTGTCAAACAGCGCTCGTTCAGCGTTGCACGACAGACGCTAGACTAGAGCGACTTGAGCCAAGATAGACGATCTAATATTTAGTATATAAGACGAGCTTATATTTTGGTAGACTGAGAACTTTACTGACCCAGTAACGCTAAACCAGTGACAACTGAGCCAGTGACAGCTGAACCAGTGGAGAACTGAGCCACTGGACAAGTGAACCAGTGTAGTGGACAACTGGACCCGTGACAGCTGAACGTTAGGTTAAGTAACGCTAGGTTAGCTAGCTCCATCCCAGACCCAGCAGATGACAAAAAGGGGTCAGTTTATGCTAGGTTAGGTGAAAACAAACCAAATCTTAAGGTCCTAGGTATTGGCTGACCTTCCAGGTCAGGTCAATGAGCAAAAAGTCGGAATAATTGGGGCCTGCTTTAAACTTCATAAAGTGAGGCTGTTATGGGCGTTTTGTCATGGTTCTGATTACAAAATTCATGATAGTTTTGATCACAGATAATGTCTTCATGCATTAAGGCTAGGTCAGGACAGGTCAGGTCAGGTCAACCAGTAGGCCTCCTGCCAGCTATCCATAGAAGGCAGGTATCAACCACCACTGACAGCTTTGTAACATGCTGCATAGGCACCAAAACCACTAAGAGTGAATCAAGGTCATCTAAGATTAATGACCTTGACCTGACCTTCACATGACCTTGACACCCACCATGACATATGGTGCCAAGTACCAACATCATTTGTTTGTTTTCATATGTTTGAACATTTACAACTACAATAAGACTGGAAATGCAGATAATGTGAGCTGAACCAGGGCCTCGGCTAAGGAATTTTGACTGGTGGGCCACTTGGGCAGCGACATGGACTGACCTTCGTAGCCATAGCCCCCCCCCATTTTCGATTTCTCCCCAGATTTCGGCCACTTTATCCTGCAAAAAAAAAACGTCAGGATGGCATTAAAAAATGTAAAAAAACGGGGCTCGACCCCCCCCCCCCCCCGACTCTTCAGAGAGAGGAGAGAGAGTAGGGACCCACAACCCTCTCAGTGGTGATACTCCGGCGGTGCACATAAAATCGTACAAGTATGCACAAAATATTGACGCAGATTATAAAACTTTGGACGATAACTTACGACCGGTCGGATGTTAAAAATCAGCGAGCCCTGAATGGATCGCTCGCCGACTAGTCGGAGATTCGGAAGCGGTCGGACGGGATCGGGCGTTGTCGGGTGGATCGGGAGGAATTGTGAACAGCACAAGTGCAACTTTATATATAAAGTGGGTTGTAGCAGGAACCCCAAAAAGGGGTTGTAGCAGGAACCCCAAAAGGGGGTTGTAGCAGCAACCCCAACATCTCTGAAAATGATCATTAAGTCTATTGGTGTCGCATGGAAAAGAATTCACTCAAAAGCCCAAGCGCACTGCGCAACCCTAATATTTTCTTTAAAAAAAAAAACTAATTTATGTACACTTCTGGTGAACAGTGTACCAAACTTCAGATTTCTCTTGGGTGTCTGAGTGGAAAATTCTAGCCATCCAAAATGTGAGAGTGGAAAATTATCCATTCTTATTCTTGAGTGTCATCTTCAGCCCAAATGAGAAATTTTTGGAACGCTGACTGTGAACGGTTCGAAATTCGTCCAACTGGTCAGATGTGCGACTGCAAGCATCATACCGTTCGTGAAGACGCATAGTATCGCTTGCAGACTTCAATCGGCTGGAAGTTGGACACTACCTCTAGTTTGACTCTGGCTTATATCGTGTCTATCGGCGAGCCGTCTGAGATCGCTCGCAGGCTTATCCCCGACCGTCTGAACTGGTCTGTTCTTTATACGTAGTTTTTCTTGTAACCGACTGGTCTGCGGCAGATGCTTATGTGACTGTAACCACTCGATCGATCGGAAAGCTTGCAAGAACTCTCGCAGACCTCAATCGGCTGGAAGCCGCCGACACTATCTGTAATTGACAGAGGCAAACGTCTTTCACGATTATTGCATAAAATTTAAAGCCTCGGTCACACTTAAACGGATTGGACCAACGGACGAGAAACGGACGAGAACTGTCTGCGTCCGGTGATGTCCGTTTGTTTCCGTTGGACGTCCGTTTGTCATCCTTTAACCCGCGCCCGGCTGGGGGTCCTGGATTTCCACGCCCTGCTGGGGGGGGGGGGGGTGTTTGAACACCCCCCCTTGTAACTCGGCTCCTGGGCCACGTAGCGATACGCGGAAGGCGGCGTTCGAAAGAGCGTCAAAAATAATGACGAAATCACTTCGGTCAATTTTTTGGTCAGGTCAAAGGTCAGGTCACCAGAGGTCATTGAAGGCAAAATTTCGCCGATTTCCAGGTCGAATGTCGAAAATTTCCAAGAAGCCAACGCATAACTCGGGAACCAATAGAGCTACAGCGCCGCGGAAAAGTGCATTCGATAGCCCTATTAACGCCCTTTCTGAGTAATTCTCTCAGATTTGACCTAGCGTCAACGGTTTTGCCTGCAGGGGGCAAAAACTGCAAAAATAGCCGATTTTTTTCGGAAACAGTTTTTCTGCAATAACTTTTGACCCAAGCCTTGTACGAGCTTACTTTCACCGGCATCGTGTTCCTCTCGTCAAGACGCATCGAATGAACTATAACTTGACCTTGAAAGGTCAACTTGAAAATTTGACCTCAGGTCAAGGTCATGACCTGACCGGAAAGGGTCATGCTGCATATCAGTCAATCCGTATCGTCGAGCTGAACACATCTAAGGCGTTTTCATCGCTCTAGCATTCCTCTATCAAAAGTTATTTGCGAAAAACTGTTAGATACCATTCGTGACCTAAGATGACCTCAGGGCATAAACAAGGGTCACGGACATTATTTTCATGTTCAGTGTGTCTAAACCACTTGTAATTTAGTGTTTGGAAGTGTTTATAATGTCTTTTGTCCAAAAGAGGCGCATTTCAATTTTCTCCCATTGACTTATAATGGGGAGGTCGCAAAATTGACCTGACCTTAGGTCATCGATATCAAAATTCTGAGATATATATTTTGTACATGCTATTGCTCTTAGCAATCGCTGAAAGTTTTAAAGCGATTGGTCACTCGGTGTAGCTATGACAGACATTGAAACTTTTTATGAGGTGAGGTCACTTCAAGTGACCTGGTGACCTGACCTTGAATGACCTTGGTCTGAAATTTTCACAACATGTGTAGAATTGATGTATGATAAGGTGTACCAAAAACGGCGGCGCTCCGCGCCGCCGTTTTTGAGATATTCGCGAAAAACCACAAGGGGGGTGTTCAAACACCCCCCCCAGCAGGGCGCGGGTTAATATCCGTTCCATCATTCCATGTCCGGTGGTGTCCGGTTGAGCACACCGGACACCACCGGACATGGAACAGATATTAACGGATGAGAAACGGACGTCCAACGGAAACGAACGGACATCCCACGCCGTCCGTCTCTCGTCCTTTGGTCCAATCCGGTGAAGTGTGACCGGGGCTTAACCTACGGCTGTCTCAAGAAACCGGGAATGGTGATGGTATTAGGCGGGCAACGACGATCAAGTTCTTACTTTTAATAAATGTAACAATGTATGTAGGGCCTCTGTATCTGTCTGTATGACAATGTTACCTATGTCGTGATGTAAAATGGGAAAATTTCGATTTTTCAGAAAATTACTGGTGGGCCAAATCTTTGAGGCTGGTGGGCCATTTCGGGTCACTGGTGGGCCATTTGGCCCACCAGTTAACATGTTAGCCGAGGCCCTGAGCTGAACTGCATTGCAGTTCAGGCCAATCCATATAGAATATTGCATTTCACCTGGTAAGAAATCTTGTCCAAATGGGCATTATAACAATCGAAATGAAACACTTGAATAGTTTGGTGCATTAAAAGTAATCAAAATCTTTATTTCAACTCCTTACCTATATGGTCATGCCATTATTGCCACGCCCCCTTTCATGATGTCATAATCCGTTACGGTCCAAACTCCATAGACAAGCGGACATACGGTTTTACAAGAGTTAGGCGACGAAATACTCAGCTTAATTATTAAGTAATGGGCACCATTAGGTAGGCCATACAATTTTCTGTAGTACCGCATAGTCGCTGCAGTCAAAGGTGTTCTGGTTTTTATGCTACATGCCAAAGAATTTTTGCATGTAATCACCGGTGACACGACATATTTCTGCTTTATTGGGTTGGGCGGTGAAGTCGATGATGTGATCACAATGAAAATGGCTTAGTTTTGTAGAACATTGAATTCTGATTCCGGCACGACTCTCGCGACTCGCTAGTCCATTTTTTATTATAAATAAACCATTAATTGCGGTACAAAGTCAAAACTAGCCCGAAACGGCGCCCGCAGCGGCCGTTAGCACAGCGGCCTTATAGTAAACAGGTTAGTTCACGTTCCCGCCGCTATGCGAGTGGCGGCGGCGCCACCTGTCCTCATGTCCGCCTTGGACCGTAACACGCATGAACTTGATTGATCAAGCTCATAATTACCTCCCCATAGTTTGCCCAACTGAAATGTTAGTAATTACAAAGAAACAATATTCACTTTACCAAAACCAAAAATGAAACTTGAGTTCAAGTTTGCACCTGCAAGAAACGAATACCAAGCATTAATGATTGGATTTCAAGAAAACTTCAAGCCTCAGTATGAACTTTGAGTTAGCAAGATTCAAGCTATTTCATTTTACAGAAGATTGAATACCAATATTGATTTTAAGAGAAAGTTTGCTAAGAAATGTTGAAACTGCAAACTTTCTGTTTCACAGAGACCAGAAGGCAGAACTTAAAGCAAAACAACTACGATGTACAAACCTATAATTCCAGTGGTCCTGGTTTCCAAAATATGGTAACTTTTTGTGCAATAATGCAATACAGTCAATAACATCAATATCGATAAAATATGCTACCTAACCTATGCTGAGTGACTCTGGCACGCATTCTCGTTTTTGTGCTGGCTTGGCCACTTGGCACACAGAAAATCAATCGTCATGTTTTGTCATTCGCGCGCCATAAAAGCATTAAATACTTCTGATGTCTATTGTTTTGGTTTCTAATTTTTGCCACAGTGTGTATTAACAGTTTTTCCAATTACAAAACGTTGCAAGGTATTTTTGTGTAAATATGGTTATCAATATTATTTTGTTTGTTCATAGTTGCAATTTGACAAATTTAGATAATATGCAGAATCGGTAATATACCATTGTTCTTGATTACTAACCTAGTTTGTTTACAAATATTTTTCAAGGTCATCTATATTTTTTATCGAAGGTGGAGGAGGCGGTGGAGCAGGCTGACATGCACGGTCATAGAATACTACTGACATGGGACGGCACGTATTGGTATTGGTAGTTGGTGCTAAGGCCACATATAGGTTGGTGCCTTGAGTCGTTGAATTGTTTTTACGTTTGCAAAAATAGATGGCGGTACCGAATGTCACCCAGATGGCGCAGCGCTCCACTCGCCCACAGTGACCTCCCTTGGACCTCCCCTCCGCCCCGAACCAGCTCAGAACCGGCGCATTCCGGTCCACCGGTGCCCCCGGCGTATAGAGATTGATTGTCAGGCCCCTGGTGGATTTTCGTTTCAGTCTGGTAAAATACGTCGATTTTCTCATGCCTGATGCCAAGTTGAAGTCTCAGTTGGTTTAAATTTTTCCTCGATATTGTTCTTCTCATCGAATTTCACTTTCTTATCAATTTTCAACAATTCGATCGGACTTTGCCCTTAGTTGTGTAGTTTGTCAACAGATGTCACTGCAGTGTCTTACGGAGGCCTGCCAAGCTCAGCGCTTGGCCCGGAGCGCCCGGAGCAAGGCCCGGAGTTGGCCCCAGGGGGGCGACACGGCTATTCGCGCAATGTATTAATTTATGGGCCGCGCGGGGCCTCGCGATGACGCGGCTGGAGGCAACTGCTCAGCGCGCTAGGAATTAGGATACTTCTGTCGTACTGCGCTGTGGGTAGCGCGTGGCTGGATGGACGGTCTGTGACAATCTATTGATCTGTGGCTGATCTATTAGAGTGTCCGTCCGAGAGCCGTACGACGGCTGACAGAGCCTGGGGGTCGCGAACTGGTGTGGTAACCGTTACGCCCACCTGGGACGCCCGAGTCGGTACGGCACTTGCGGTGTCGTAACCGGATCGGCGGGAACCAGCAGAACGCTGTTGGACCGGCGGTGAAAGTCGGAACCGAGCACTCGCCCACCAATGGGCGTCTGGTCGAGCAGGTCTACCCGCTAAGGCAGCCTGAGCACGAACCAGTGGCAGGGTCCGATCAATGACCGTGGTCCGACCAGGGTGTCAGCGCAATGGCCAGTCAGAGGCGTCTTTAAGGGCGCAGAAGCCCACCTCGGTCGACTGGCCGGTGCAACCTAGTCAGGTCGTTTGTGTGAATCTCCGTGTTCTTCCCTCGCCTCAGAGTAGCCGCTCTTCTCCAAATGCCCGAGCCGTTTTCTATGTGTATTTGTCCTGTAGCGAACAGCAGAGTCGAGAAACGAATTGACAATGTCGCCGAAAACCGCGGTCACATGCTGGCCGTTCCTAGTACTACCAATATGCCCGCAGGCGCGGCGAGAGACAAGCTTAGCGTATGAGTCACCGTCCGGCTGCCGGGAGAGCCCCTACCGCGACCTTTGTTCACAGTCATGACGTCAACACAATGGGCTCCTAAACGTACGGGCAGCGGCCGCCTCAGGGGTGCCGCCGTGACCTTTGCACGACACGTTCTATAGCGTATGGCACAGCGGTTACTAGGAAGGTTGAGGCCAGCGGCAGGCCGGTTTACAAATAACAAACTTGACGCGCAATTGACAACAGGTAACAGATTGATTAATAAAGCGGTGACAATATAAATGAAAATGACAACATGAAATGACAAATCGCATAGATGACAAATCGCATAGATGATAAATCGCATAGATGATCCCTAGCCACTCGCCGGGTCTCTTCTTTGGCACCATGTGGAGTGGAGTTGTCCAGCTGCTGCTCGACGGTCGAATGATGCCTTGCTGGAGCATCTTGTTGAACTCAGCACGTGCGATTTGAAGGCGCTCCGGCGGGAGGCGTCGTGGCCGCTGGTACACCGGTGGACCCTTGGTGACGATGTGGTGCGTCACGTTGTGCTTCACCGGTGTTGGTCCAGGTTTTGGTGAGGTCACATCCGGGTACCGGGCGAGGACAGCTGCGAAGCGAGCAGCAGCCTGCTCCCGGACGAGACGCACTCCGATGGAGCACAGCCGTGACCGCTCGGCGCTGGCGCAGACGGTGCCGTCCCGCAGGAGACGCTGGTTGGCGACGTCCACGACGAGGTGATGTGCGGCCAGGAAGTCGGTGCCCAAGATGGGTGTGGTGACGTCAGTGACGAAGAATCGATGTTTCAGGCGGTGCTGCTGACTCAAGGTGACGTCCAGCAGGCAGGTGCCGTGCACCGCGATCGGTGAGCCGTTTGCCGCGACGAGCTGCTGGCCGACAGGAGCAGGGGTCAGTGTGGACCCGTTGGGCAGGCAGCGGCGAGGCAGCACGCTGACCTGCGCCCCGGTGTCGACTAGAAATTGCCGGTCCGTCTCCGTGTCCCTCACGAAGAGGAGTGGCGCGGCAGGAGGGGCACCCGTGCTTTGCGCCATCAGCACGGGGCGCCTCAGTTTTCCGAGGCGATCCAGGAGCACGGCAACTTGCATCGGCGCGCTTGGGCGCCGAATCGCTGGTGGTACCAACACAGCGTGTCGTCGTGCGGCGGCGTTGAAGGACGAGCCGGTGACGGGCGGCGTGACTGGCGAGACGCCTGGCGCGGCCGGGAACGGCTGCGGTCGCGTCGCACGGCGTCCTCGAGTCGTCGGTTGCTGGCCTCCAGGCGCTCCATCTTAGCGACCAGGGAGGCGATGACGGTGTCCAGCGCAGGGGTCGCAGCTGGCGCTGGGGCTGTCACTGCAGCAGCGATGGGCGGTGCCGGCTGTGTGTACGGCTGTGCCGCGATCGCTGATAGCCGTGGGTCGGGTCCGCTAGCTTCCAGATACCGATCGGCCGCTTCTGCCAGTGCGTCAAGCGTGCTGTCGGCTGGCAGGAGGGCGAGGGCAGCACGGACGGGCTGCGGTAGCCGTTGTTGAAATAGGGTACGGAAGAGCTCCGTATCAACCGGGGCGTCCCCGGCTGCGGCTAGCTCGTTGCGCATTGAGCGCAACAGCGCCGTCGGCTTCTGATCGCCGAGCTGTTGGCGGCCGAGCAGGGCTTGTAGTCGGTCGGCGCGTGACTGTGCCAGGCGGGCTTGGAGCGCCGCACACAGCACGTCAAAAGACCGAGATGACCGGATGACGTCCTTGACCTGGACGGCGATGTTGGCGGGGAGGTTTGCGACGAGGAGCTTAAACCTCAGCTCGTCGGAGTCGACCCCGCTGACGTCGAAAGCGCACTGCACCTGCAGTAGCCACAGGTCGGGCTCTTCCGGAGAGTATGGTGGTAGCCGGAAGCTAGCCATGGGCCGATGAGCTGACTCGGAGGCTGAAGCTGGAACGCTGGCTGGGTCTTGAGCTGCGGCGCCGGACTGTGCGCTGTCCGCGGGCATGACGAGAGGCTAAGGTCGAACAACGGAGATCACGTCGGGGTCACCAATTGTCGTACTGCGCTGTGGGTAGCGCGTGGCTGGACGGACGGTCTGTGACAATCTATTGATCTGTGGCTGATCTATTAGAGTGTCCGTCCGAGAGCCGTACGACGGCTGACAGAGCCTGGGGGTCGCGAACTGGTGTGGTAACCGTTACGCCCACCTGGGACGCCCGAGTCGGTACGGCACTTGCGGTGTCGTAACCGGATCGGCGGGAACCAGCAGAACGCTGTTGGACCGGCGGTGAAAGTCGGAACCGAGCACTCGCCCACCAATGGGCGTCTGGTCGAGCAGGTCTACCCGCTAAGGCAGCCTGAGCACGAACCAGTGGCAGGGTCCGATCAATGACCGTGGTCCGACCAGGGTGTCAGCGCAATGGCCAGTCAGAGGCGTCTTTAAGGGCGCAGAAGCCCACCTCGGTCGACTGGCCGGTGCAACCTAGTCAGGTCGTTTGTGTGAATCTCCGTGTTCTTCCCTCGCCTCAGAGTAGCCGCTCTTCTCCAAATGCCCGAGCCGTTTTCTATGTGTATTTGTCCTGTAGCGAACAGCAGAGTCGAGAAACGAATTGACAATGTCGCCGAAAACCGCGGTCACATGCTGGCCGTTCCTAGTACTACCAATATGCCCGCAGGCGCGGCGAGAGACAAGCTTAGCGTATGAGTCACCGTCCGGCTGCCGGGAGAGCCCCTACCGCGACCTTTGTTCACAGTCATGACGTCAACACAATGGGCTCCTAAACGTACGGGCAGCGGCCGCCTCAGGGGTGCCGCCGTGACCTTTGCACGACACGTTCTATAGCGTATGGCACAGCGGTTACTAGGAAGGTTGAGGCCAGCGGCAGGCCGGTTTACAAATAACAAACTTGACGCGCAATTGACAACAGGTAACAGATTGATTAATAAAGCGGTGACAATATAAATGAAAATGACAACATGAAATGACAAATCGCATAGATGACAAATCGCATAGATGATCCCTACACTTCTGCCGGGGCGGGGCGCTGAACGGTGTGCAATGAATGGGTTATGGTCGGGCCGACAGAGATGAGGTATTGAATTTGAATTGACATCAGCAATCGGGTGGGGAAGGAGAACATTCCTAATCGAGCTTGGGTTGGGGAAAGCCGAAAATATCGCGATCGGCTCATAGCTCAGACAGGGCCGGGTGCCGTACCATGTGTTGTATACATATTTAGGCGGGCAGACAGAGATGAGTTATTGGATTTAAATTCACCTTACCATCGGTTTCTGGTGGGGTTTGAAAATGGTTTTAGTCAAGCTCGGAGTGGGGCAACCCACTGGCGGATCCAGGGGAAGGCATTTGGGGCAAATGTCTTCCCCCACATTGGCAGCGCCCGAAATCGCTTTTCGAGAATCAAAGAAAACTTCACAACTT